CTCCAAAAAGAAAAAGTATAGGATCTCACTTGCCAATAATATTAAATCATAACACAACTGCCAAGGTTAAATGAAAACAACAAAGAATTGGAAGATCTACACTGGAATAGACATAATTAACTATGCCGAAACTAAAATCCCAACGCACATAAAGATCTTGATGGAGACATCTGCTTACAAAATAAGCCATTTCAGAATGCTTACAAAATAAGCCATTTCAGAAGCAAGGTTTCTCTTTCATTCAAAAATTCAAGGTCTAATGGATAAAGCACCAAATACAGTTGCAGATCAGAATGATAACCATTGACCAAGGACCTGAATAAGGACTCCTGCTAACCTTTTCCAAAAAGTTAATCAAGACATGCTCCTACCCTCCCAATAGATCAGAATTTCTAATTCCACAAATATCTGAAAGACTCAAGAAGCACAGCATAAAACCCCATACTAAGTAAAGACGACAAGGCAAGTCAACAGTGTTATTGCATGGTAATACGATGCAAATGAACAAGCCTACAGCATCCTCAGTCATCACTGACTCAGTTTGCAACAAATTTTGTTTCCAAAATACGTTAAAAGATGTCCATAAAACATGCTTCCTCAAGCACTATGTTCCAAATTCCAATAATAACACTGCTTCGATTTAAAGAATCCTCTGATAACTTTAACCACAAACCCGGTTCATGAAAATTGTATTTCAGGATTAAAACACAAAATGCTTTCCAAACAAGCAAGTAGTAGATTGCAGAGCATGAATGGCATGTATTCTAATAAAACCACATCTCCCTTAACATATGAGCACTCAAGAACTAAATTTGCAAGTTACATGACATACAAACAAACACCATAGTCTTAACCAAATGCAAGACATAACAGGTGGATTGAACATAATGCCTCCTTGTGCAAGTTCGTAGATCTTAACCGTTGACTAGGATGAAGAATAGGTGAATTTTATCAATTCTCAGCACTAAATTTTCAGAAAAATAAATTATTAGCAACCTTTTTAAAACAATAATCTTACAATAATATCCCCTAAAAATAAAATAAATCTGTTCATAAACTTCAGATAAAGACCCAACCATTTTACATAATTTATACACACACAAGCATTTCATAACCTTTTCCATGAAAAACAGATGCAAAATCGAAACTTTATGAAAACATCCATGAAACTTAATCATATTAAACCAAAAGTAAATCCCCCAGAGAATTAAAGGAATCTGACAAAGCCAAAAAAGTCAAATAAACATTTATCAAAACCCTAATTGAAAATTCTAAAAGGAAGAAAAAGAGCGATAAAAAGCAGGTATTTTCTAAGAGGGGGACCTGACAACGTTAGAAGGGGCGTCGATTGGCTGCGTAGACCAAGAAAAACCGGGATAAGGTCCGTCAGGGACAGGGATATCGTCGATCAAGGTTGTATAATCGAAGTGTGACCAATAATTGGAGTTTTCCGGGGACACCATTCTCCGCCGACTTCGATTTCCGCCGGAAAGATTGAAGTGTTCGGTTATATTTTTCCGGCTTTGAAGAAGGGCGGGAGCTGCTTGGGAAGAAAAAGAATTATTACAAGGGGGTTCAATCATATGCTTTTAGATTTAATTTTGGATAAATTACCCCCACAAATCATTCAATTATTATAAGATTATATAAGTCATATAATTTAAAAGTATACAAATAGATCACTCAATTATTTGGTTGTCACAAATAAATTATATTAATGAACTGAGTAATGCCATATTATATAAAAAAATTAAAACTATATTTATTTTTAGTAATATATAGTGAGTAAAATATACTATTTTTCGATGAACTCTGATATCTCTTATTTCACTCATTGTACTTTTAATTTTTCTAATTTACTCGTTGAAATTCCATATTGCTCATGCTTTGGTCATTATGAATTATTGTATTGTTATTTTTAATGTGACATGCTATTTTTATTATTATTTAATATAAAAATAATTTAAAAAATAAAATAAAAATAAAAGGTGATCGTCCACTGTTCGTCGACATTATATGCCACCGTCGACAATAATAGATGATGGATATCCGGTCCGAATTTCATCATTTATTTCGTTTCGATCCCTTGAGATCGAATTTGACCTCTGTTTTGTCTCAGCATGCTCCTAATCCAATCAAAAATGATAAAATAGAAACGTCAGCCGTCGTCGATTATTGTAGATGGTGATCATTCGATCCCAAATTTCATGTTTCGCTTCACCTCAATCCCTATGTCTGAATCCGACCTTCATTTTGTAGGAACATGCTCTAAAATCCACGAATATCATATCGAAAATGAAGAAATCAAAATATTTCAATTGAGATCAACAAGTTTCAGGACATTCGATTATCGGTTGTAAAGGTCGACTGTGGTTGACGATAAGCAATTATTTTTCTAAATCTTTTTAATTTTAATAATAAAAATAGTATTTTATTATTTATTTTAATTTGTTTTTATATTTTAATAATAAAAATGTCACGTCATATAAAAATAATATTAAACTAATTCAAATAATCAAAATATGAACACTTAGACAGTCTAGTGAGCAAACTAAAAAAAAAATAAAAGTATAATAAATAAAATAGGAGAGAAAATAAAGTTTAATGAAAAATTATATAATTTACTCATATATAATCATTTGATTCATTGACATGTATGTATAAAAATTGATTGAAATGTTAAACAAAAAAAATTGATTGAAATGAAATGAAAAAAAAAATATGAATTTAAAATATGTAAGTATGCTATACTTTTAATTGTATAAGATAATTATAAAATAATATTAATTAAAAATATTTTTTAATCATTAGTAACACAATATAATTATTCAAACCAAAATTTTAAAAAAAATATTTTTTTACTACTCGGATAACTCAGTAAATTCTCTAAATAAGTATACACATTCTTTATTAACATAATTATTCAAACCAAAATTAAAAAATATATATATTTTTTACTACTCGGATAACTCAGTAAATTCTCTAAATAAGAATGATTGAGTTTTTGGGAAACATGAATTTCATGTTTATTGTACAAATGATATGATAAGGGCCAAGAGTATGTGTAAACGCGGCTGCTTGCAATGCCACGTGTCAATATAGTAGGAGTGAGCAAATAAATAGTTGTGGGTTACTTTTAGTGACACTGTTAATAAATTATGCCTGGGCAAACGTGAAAGTTCATGTATCTTGTACTATTAGATTGCTTTACACACAAATTTCAAGTAAAATGAATTAAAACGACAATTAAGTCATAGAATCATAATTAAATATAGTACGTCTTTAACTTTTTAGGGTGTCATAACGTCATTAGTTAGATTTTAAAAATTAATTAATTCGAAAAAAGTGATGAAATATAATTTTGAAAATAATTTGATTTTGAATTCGTCATCAACCTTTAAATTAAGTAGCTTGGAAACCTTAAAATTATTTTAATGAGTTTAGAAAAATCATTAAAAGATTAAAAATGGTTTGCATTTTACCAAAATTTTCTTTTTAAAAGTTCGAGTGTCGATTACGTGTAGGTAAGGATGAACACCCCCACAACGCCCAAGTCTGGTACCTAAACGATTACGTGTTGAATGGTCTTTTTGTAGATCTACGACCCCATGTTTAGAATCCCGAAGATCGAAGGCCATATCTGTGATAAGGAGATCGAGACGATTGAAGCGATGATCTTCAGTACGACAACACCGACGACTTCGGTGATCAACGGTGGTCCAACATGATAGAGATAAATGGAGATGTGAGGGATAAATGGAGAAAGCATTTTAGGAAATAAATAATTAAATAATAATATTAATAATAATATTTTTATTTTTAAAAAATCTGACGTGAATGGGAGTATGAAACAAACGATTCTTAAATTTGAAATTCAAACTTAAGTATTTATTAAATAATATTTGTTTCATTATCTAAACAAGTTAGCAGTTTGGGTTGATCGCAAAAGAATTTCTATTTCACACCCTGGACTTAAGTTCGAATCTCCCAATTTTCCTTTTAATAGTTTCATTAAAAAAGCATCAATAAAGAGTAACAAATAATTAAATATTATTAATAAATTTTAAAATTTTTGTTTTAAAAACATTTACGTAATAATGCCTCGTCATCAAGCACAACCACTAGTCACATCAACTTTTTCCTCAATGTGTATACTTCATCAGCATCAAATGCTGACGGTCAATTAATTAATATTTTTCATCCAACATAGATTTTTAACCAAAAACTAAAGTTGAGTGGACAACAGGGGCGTGGCTGAGCATGCACTAAATACGAGACGGTGCATGACATCAAAAAATAGGAGCCTAAAATAGAATATATCTGTCAATTGTTGTCATTAAAAAGTATAAAAATAGGTATAGAGCAGTGATTAGATCATTGGGACACATGACTTTGTTGATCCTAAGTTCGAATCTCGTTAACAAGCAAAATTATTTTTGGGAAAAACAAGTTCAAATTTACATCGGGGCCCAGAATAGAGTATATCTATAAGTTTTTTAAGTTAATGAAATTAGTCATTTATTATTTCAGAAAAATAAGTTCGAGATCTAAGAGCCCCTTTACAAGAATTTGCACAGGGCTTCCAACAACATAGCCACGACTCTTGTGGTCAAATATTTCAAAAAAATAATACGAACAAATTTGACCGTAGTATAAAATTTAGGATTATTTTATTGCATTATGTCTTTTCAAAATACTCTAATATGATATGCTTATGACATCAAAATGATTTGAAAGCAATTATTAATCTTAAAAAATTGTTTAAACAAGGGAAAAATAAGAACTCTAAAGTTGCACAAGAAGAAACAAACAAAATTTACATGCTTTTATTCCTCAAACATAATCAAAATCAAAACACAATAATCTTCAAACTTCAACTATTAAATTACAAGCCAAACAAAACCAAATCCACAACATAAAGAAACTCAAAGGATTAAACCTCACAAAAGCAAGGAAGACAAGAACTGATTTTTTTTATCAGAAATAATAATGATAATAAACTATGTAGGAAGTTTAGAAGAACGGAAGTGAAGAACGAAATCAGCAATCATTTTCTTGATCGCATCATGATTGGCACCAACAAGCTTGTTGACATGAGTGCCTTGATTCATCAACAAAAATGTTGGCATTGCTGTGATTTCCATCTTGGATGCTGCCTCCTGTTCAACATCCGAAACCGTATTCCAATATAAACTTCCTTTTAGGGTTGCATAAGAACATGAGAGAAGCTACATAGAAGAAGAAGAAGGAAAAAAAAACCTGGACATCGTCCACATCGACGGAAAGAAACAAAACATCTTGGTAGGTGAAGGCCAGTTGTTCAAACAAAGGGCTCATGGCCACTGAGGGCACGCACCAAGCTGCTGTAAAATGTACCATTATCTGCAATTACAAAACAACACACCAGATCAACTGAAAAAGATAATACGTATATGTGCAGTGTGCTGCAAGATGATTCATGAGATTTCCGTATCTAAAATATATGAAAATTTAAAAGTTTGGGGAGATGTCCATCCATACTTGGACTCATGTAATTGAGAGGGAAAGAAGATGCTTACAGGGCAGCCTTGACCGTTAGCCTGAGTGATGAAGAAATCCCAGGATTGTTCTGAATCTATTCTGACAACTCTTGATGCCGGCGTCTTAGTTTTCCTGTTCATGTCCATTCTTTCTCCTCCTCCTCTCAACTGGGAACAGCAATATGTTTCCAAATTTATAGAGGGATTTTATCATGTATATTAGAATAAGTTCACTACTATTAAGGTCATCAAAGAACATTAATTAACAACCGAATAATGACAATACGATGATACAAGAATTCAATCAAACAACATGAAGAATAAAAATATATATAAACAAACATCATTATCAACAATGAACGATAAATATTATCACCGTTAATAGTTACCTTGGCACACAAGTCAAGAGGGGAGGGTTAGGCTAGTTTTTTGTTTTAGCAAGTCTACATCATTGATTAAAAAACTGTGTTGCCACCAATAATCATGTTCTCTCATTCTCGTTTAAGTTAATGATGCTCAAAGATGGAGTAATTAACTCCTTTTAAACTATTTTTCCACCCTTTGTTTGTTTTCACACCAATGGCACACGATCCACATGGGGTATAAGGTAGTGACGGGTACATATCCATGGATGCCAACTAGTAGATATCTTTTTTTATGGACTCGTGGAACATATGCTACTAAAAATGTGATGTGGGTGGCTTTCATTTAAATTTTAGGTAAGTTACATATTTAGTACTTAAATTATTAGTTTTAGTATCTAAACTTTCAATTTCTTCAAGATCATATCTAAAGTTTAGTTTTTGTTTCATTTTAGTTGTCTGCCATTAAAAACTTCAGTTTTTGTTTCATTTTATTATCCCCTGATCAAAATTTAATGTTTTGAAGAAAAATCGAAAGTTTAGGTATTAAAACATACCAAAAGTGATAGTTTATGTACAAAATGCATTAAGTTTTTAATGACGGGCTACTAAAATGAAAACTAAACGTTAGGTATGGTTTTGAAAAATTGAAAGTTTAGGTATTAAAATAGACCAAAATTGATAATTTAGGTACTATATGTGTAGTTTGCCCTTAAATCTTTTTTGGGTTTTGCTGCGAGGAATTACGGCTAGAAATGGTATACTTTAGCAGGAGTGAGGAAATAAATAGTTGTGGGTTACTTTTAGTGACACTGTTAATAAATTATGGTCGGGCAAATGTGAAGTTCATGTGTCTTGTACTATTATATTGCTTTACACACAAATTTAAAGTAAAATGAATTAAAAGGACAATTAAGTCATAGAATCATAATTAAATATAGTGCATCTTTAACTTTTTAGGGTATTTAAATTTTGATCATCGAACTTTCAAAATTTGTAATGTGTTTATTGAAGTTTTAATTTACCTTCATTATAGCCACAATTGTTAAAAAAATTGTATGCATTAAATTCTTTTTCTTAGAAAAAAAAAGATCATATAGTCTTCTTCCAAATTGATAGTCGTCGGTTTCCTTTCGATCTACGTTATCACCGTTCGATATTCTTCTAATAGTTGTTTTCATTGAACATGATACTCATGCATCTTACTCAAGAGCTTCATCATCTTCCCAGAGTCGTTGAACCATTCATCCCCACCATTTAATCCAAGTCTCAACAACCCAGCCATGATTCTTGATCAAACCAATCAAAACCCGAGCTACCATCACTTATCCCATTTGACCATCATCCACAACCACAATCATCAATAGTATCAAACAATAAACAACAACAAAAGCAAGCAAATAAGTAAAAGAAAAAAGAAAAGGAAAACTAACCATCTCAATCTTGATGAAATTTAGATGAACGAAACAGTCATCGGTCAATCCTAATGGTAAGAAGGCTTAGTTTGACCAAAAGATTAACATACTTTTGTTTTAAGCTGATCTAACGATTGACATTGACATATAAAAAAATTATCTTTTAGATTTGATTGTGATTTGAGGAGATTGCAAAGTTTTTATGACGAGTTTGAGTTGAAGGAAAGAAAGAGAAGAACAAGAAGAAAAAGTGGCTTGGTGATTTTCTTGATTGGAGAAACTGTCGAATGACATAAAACTGACAAAAAAAATAGGAGTGTCGACAGTCATTTTCAAGCATGGGAAATTTAAGATTTTTCTAGGAAAGAAGAGGACTTTATCATATCAAGTCAATTTTTCTTAACAATATTTAACAACAACAACAATAACAATAATGAAAGCGAAATAAAAATTTAGTGAGTGTATTGTAAGTTTTAAAAGTCCAATGATCAAGATATAAGTTCCCCAAAGGTTCAAAGACCATTTGTACAATTTAGCCATAAATTTAATATAGGGTTGGTAAAATCCCACCCTGGATGATATGCTTATGACATCAAAATGATGAAAGCAATTGTTAATATTAAAAAATTGTTTAAACAAGAAAAAAGAACTCTCAAGTTGCAGAAGAAGAAACAAACAAATTTACATAATTGTAGTGGAAAATAACTAAGCTACTAGATAAGTCTAGATTTACAATACGGCGGTCCAACAATGTCTACGTGAAAGAGGCTGCAGAAGGAGGTTGGTGAATCTTTGAAGCAGAACAACTCAAGGCAATCTGGAGGAGCATTCTTTGACAAAGTATCAGCAGGATGATTAGCTTCTCGAGGGATCCAAATGAAATCGATGGCCCAAGCACGATTTTTAAGCATAGTGATGGCCCTAACGAGAAGCAAATGACTTTGATGAGAATCGGAATCCGTTAGCAGCGGAACAGCACGAGCACAATCAGATTGGACTTGCACAAACTCGAATCCAAGTTGCCAAGCAAGGTGGAGTCCATCATGAATAGCCCATAACTCGGCTTGGAGAGGAGTCGTTATACCGATTGAGCGATAGAAGCCGTGAATCCAGGCACCTGAGTAATCACGAAAAATACCCCCAATGGTATTTCTTCCTGAAGACAAGCCGACTGAACCATCGGTATTCAAAGCGATCCAATTCGAGGGTGGCGGGGACTATTTGACAGCAGCATCGGGGCAGATAACTTGGGTTTGTGGAGAAGGTATGTTACGCGAAGCAGCGAAATGTTGAGCCGAAATGAAGCTACGTTGAGTAACAACATGAGGAGCTGGATGAAGGTTAGCAAAAGTAACATCATTCCTAGCTTTCCAGATTTGCCAGCAGAGGGAAGCAAAGGAAGTATTCCAGTTGGTGTTCGTGACATTGCAAAATGAATCACTTTTGATATTATGAAGGATCCATTCATCAACATTCACATTGAAAAAATCTGGAGAGATCAAACCCGGAAAAGCAAGGTGCCAGATGTTCCGAGCTTGGAGGCAGTCACGGAGGGAGTGAACGATCGACTCATTAGCGTGGCCACAGATGGGGCAAGCAGCTTTGCTGGTGAGAGTGCGGCGAAGCCTCTCAGAGTTCGTTAGCAACTTTCCTTTAACATGCTTCTATTCCTCAAACGTAATCAAAATCAAAACACAATCTTCAAACTTCAACTATTAAATTACAAGCCAAATCCACAACATAAGAAATTCAAAGGATTAAGCCTCAAAAAGGAAAGAAAGACAAGAACTGTGTTCTTTATCGTTACAAATTTAGGAGGATGGGATATAGCTAAGAGATCAAACTCTGAACCATTATATCAAAAATAATAATAATTTGATCGAACTTTTATGTAGAAATTTGAGAAGAGCGAAAGTGGAGAACGAAATCGGCAATCGTTTTCTTAATCTCATCATGATTGCCACCAACAAGCTTGTTGACATGAGTGCCTTGATTCATCAACAAATATGTTGGCATTGCTGTGATTTCCATCTTGGATGCTGCCCCCTATTCAACATCCGAAACCATATTCCAATATAAATAGGGTGATAATTTTCCAAAAATATCTACAAACTTAAATGTCACACGTACTTATATCGAATATATATCGATTCGGACTCGGATTAAATATATATATATATATATATGTGCATGTATGTAAAAAAGTATTTATTAAATAAGATTTTAAATATGTAATCCTGCTTAGCGTGGTCATTTATTAAATCTGTGCACAGCTTTTATGTAAACCTGGTTAACAACTTGAGGACCTATTGATCAATAGAGTTGAATTTGTTGAATATGTAGGAAGAAAATATAATAAAATTACAATTTAAAAAATATTTATAAAAACTAAGATTGTAATAATTGATTATTTAAAAAAAAATCATTAAAGAACATTAATTTAACCACCACATAATGAAAATATGATTATAAAAGAATTCAATCAAACAATTCGAGAAGATAAAATATATAAATAAACATCATTATCAACAACGAATGATAAGTATCATCACCGCTAACATAAAACAAAATATAACGTGATGAGTCACTATTGATTACCTTGACACACAAGTCAAAAGGGGAGGGTTAGGCTATTTTTTTTGTTCTAGCTAGTCTACACCATTGATTAAGAAAATGTGCTATCACCATTAATCATGTTTTCACATTCTTGTTCAAGTTAATGATGCCCTAAGATGGAGTAATTAACTCTATGGATTCCCCATAGCCTTTCTTTTAAACTATTTCCCACCCTTTGTTTTCACACCAATGGCACAAAATCCACATGGTGTATAAGGTAGTGAGTGGTCCAGATCCATAGATGCCAACTAGTAGATATCTTTATTTACAGACTCGTGGAACATATGCTACTAAAAATATGCTCTGGGGTGATGGTGATGGTGTTAGATTTTAGTTTGAATCCAGGAGAGAAAAATTCAGCATAAAAAAAGATTAAAAAAAAGTAGAGTAAATGATGTGATTTAATATTGTATTTAACTCCGTTAATGGAAATGTTGAAGAAATCAAGTAATACAGGTGCAATTACCAACTATACAGAGTATACCTCGCTTTCATGTTAGAATCACTGTCCATTGTTTTTCCAATCTGCTACTAGTAAAATATAGGTTCAGGTAAAGCAAAAGCAAAAAACAAAGATCAGCCATAGCTCAAGCGAGAATCCAAAGTCCTCATGTTGAGTTGTCGTCGTGGAGTCCCTATCTCGCATGCATTAACCCTCGCTGCGAAACGCAACGAGCAGAGGGACTCGCCTGCCGAGGAGGGCTCCGGAGATATATTTACAAACATCAGAGTCTTCGAGTCTCCGCCCAGGCACGGCTGTGGTTAAACCATGGGATTAAGAAAGAATGT